ATTTTGGTTATTTTTGGTATTTAGCTTAACTTGGTTTCTCCTTTGGTTGGTTTTTTTCTTTACTGTAGTTCTTTCCTTTGCAGATTTTCATTATTGTTTCTCATTTCCTCCTCCTGGAATATTTTGCCAAGAATGTTCTGAAGTGCAGAGTTTCTTGCTGTAAATTCTTTTAGCTTTTGTTTATCATGGAAGGTTTTTATTTCATTGTCAAATTTGAAGCTTAATTTTTCTGGATATAAGATTCTTGGTTGGCATCGATTATCTTTTAGAGGTTGGTATATGTTGTTCCAGGATCTCCTGGTTTTGACAGTCTGGGTTAAAAAAAATCTGCTGAGATCGAAATTGGTCTTCCCTTATAGGTAATCTGATTTTTCTTTCTTATAGCATTAAGAATAAAAATCTATTCTTATTCTGTATGCTAGGCATTTTCATTATAATGTATCTTTGTGTAGATCTGTTGTAATTTTATACATTTGATGTCCTATAGGCTGCTTGTATCAGATTTTCCAGTTCATTCTTTTTTTTTTTTAAGAGAGAGGAGAGAGAGAGAGAGAGAACTTTTGATATTTTTGGCAGACACAACATCTTTGTTTGTATGTGGAGCTGAGGATCGAACCCGGGCCGCATGCATGCCAGGCAAGCGCGCCACCGCTTGAGCCACATCCCCAGCCCCCCAGTTCATTCTTTATGCTTGAGAAATTTTCTGATATTATTTCATTGAAGAGATTGTGCATTCCTTTGGTTTGAATCTCTGAACCTTTCTCTATTCCAATAAATCTTAAAAATTTAGTCTTTTGATGGTATCTCATAATTCTTGGATATTCTGTTCATGGTTTCTTACCATCTTCACTGTGAGGTCAACTTTATTTTCAGGATTGTATATTTTGTCTTTATTATCTGAGGTCCTGTCTTCCAAGTGATCTAGTCTGTTGGTGATGCTATCTGTTGAGTTTTTTAATTGTCTTATTGTTTCTTTCATTTCAAAGATTTCTGTTTGTTTGTTTTTCAGTATCTCTCTCTCTTTCTTGAAATAATATCTTGCAACCTCTGTATTTGCTCTCCTATCTCTTTGTTGGTGTGATTGATGGTTGCCTGTATTTGGTCTCTTATGTCTTTGTTGGAGTGATCGGTTTTTGCTTTTATCTGCTCACTTAGGTCGTTCTTTAATTCCCAAATCATCTTAGTTATGTACATTTTGAACTCCTTGTCTGACATTTCACCTACTGTGCTATCTATGGATTCTGTTGTTGTAGTATCTTGGTTTGTTGGGGGCACTTTCCTCCCTTATTTTTTCATGATGTCTATGTATCTCTCTCTCTTGCAGTGTTATCTGAGGTATCATAGCTTCTGCCCTGTTGTCTTATAGTGTCCCTATATGTTATCAATACCTCACTATTAAGGAAGAAATCAATATTACAGCACACAGTGTACCCAACGTGCAGCCATATATCAGTTAGCTTCTATTTTTACATTTATAGTTTTGTCACTATAATCAGAAATGATGAGTTCGGTTATCTTCTACCATATAGTCAATAGGTTTGCTTAATGGTTTACAGTTTCTAGTGGAAGAAGGGGGTCTGGGGGGTTGGCTGAGATGTTTATGAGGTAGGATGTGAGAATAAGGAGGTATTAGGTTATATGACTAGTGAGAGGGTAATTATAAGAAATTAGCGGTTAGTAGGAGAAACAAGAGATAAGCAACCCCATGCAAGACTCCATTACCTAGCAACAGGATAACTGTTAGCACCCCTAGTAGAGAAACCTCTGGTGCAGCAGGCCCACAGGGACCTTGGTGACTTCTTACCAGGTCCTTATTGTTATCTCTTGATAGAAGTGGCAATATCTTGAAATTATATTTTACCACAACTTACTGTTGAAGAAGCCGGTTATTTGTCCCACGGAGTCTCCTGCAATGGATTTTGCTGCTTGTTCTCTTCACTGTTAACTGAGACTTTCTCTATCCATTCTATGGGTTTCCTCTGACCCAGACACCAAGCAGATTCAGGCAGTGGGTTTGTTCAGTTCTGTCTGTTCTGGTATGCTTTGGTCTGGTCTGTTTCTTCTGGTTCGTTTTTTATTCTGATTTATTCTGGTCTGGTCTGTTCTGGTTTGTTCTGGTCAGGTCTACTTTGTTCTGGTTTATTCTGGTCTGGTCTCATTTGCTCTGGTTGGTTTGTTCCGTTTTGTCCTTTTCTGATCTGTTTGGTCTGTCCTGTCTGGTCTGAGCAGGGCTGCTTGCCCCAGGAAGGATATAGTCTCTGGCTATCTGCTGTACTGTGATTCTGGCAGCCATTGAATGTCAACTAGGTCCAGTAGTTCAGTGGAGTTTGTAAACCATGTTGTTTTAACTATTATAGGTATTTCCTATTTCTTAGCCAGTGCCTTAGTCCATGAGAGCTGCTATAATAGAATGCCACAGATAGATAAGTTAAAAGAAAATAAGTTTATTTCTCAGTTCTAGAGCCTGGAAAGGCCAAGGCCAAGACATGAAATATGGAGCACTCCATCTCCACATTGGAGCTTAAATGCTGCCTCTTACCAAGGGGAGGGGTGCTGATATTCACATGGCAGAAAGTATAAGGGCAGTCCTTCTGCCAAGCCCTTTAATAACAGCATTGACCTCATAAGCTGACACCTGCCCAGAGGCCTCAGGCCTAGCACTGTGCATTGGAGATGATGCTTCCATCACACAATTCTGGGAGATGCCTTCAAACCAAAGCAACCAGAATAATGCTTTAAAGAAAGCTCCCCCATGTGCCTGCTTTCCTGTTGCCCAATGTTATCACTTATATAAGAGAGACTAGAGGGCTGGGGTTGTGGCTCAGCGGTAGAGCGCTCGCCTAGCATGTGCGAGGCCCTGGGTTCCATCCACAGCACCACATAAAAATAAATAAATAAAGATATTGTGTCCAACTAAAAAGTAAATATTTAAAAAAAAAAAGAATTTTAAATTAAAAAAAAGAGAGAGAGAGATAAGAAATGGGGGTTATTCCTCACCAATTTCATTTTGATGAATGAGTTCACAACTAAGTTTGCTCTTCTTTTTAGTATCGTTGTGAACTTATGGAGTTAGGCATGTTGATTTGATTCCACTTATCAGTTATTTTTAGTATACAATTGCCACATCTTTGGCCAATGGGAATATCTTTGTATCAGCTCCTGAGTCCTTTAGACAAGGCCTTGGTGGTAGTTGTCCACTCTCCTGGCCCTCTGGTCCGTGCAGTGTTGCTAGACCATTGTGAGGTGTCCTTGAGTCCTGATCATCTTCCACCTTTTCCTTTGAGTGGAAGTACTATTTGAGGGCCACCCTCTCAGAGATGGAGGTGCCTGCTGATGCTGGCCCCTCTGTTCTCTGGACACAGTAAGGAAATCTAAGATAAAACAGGCTTGAGTTTGTATTCTTCCAGTTCATATTCAGGATGATGCAGTGAACTGCTTAGACCTTACTCTGTCCTTCATTACCCTCTAGGAGTACTGGGTTCATTGTCTCCACTCAGCAAAGAATTGAAGAACAGGACACAGAGAGAGCAAGCAAGCAGCAGGTTTATTCTAAAAGTGACAGAGACTTTCTAAAGAGAAGGGGCCCCAGAGCTGGGTGTCTGGTGGGGGAGTTTTGGCTTGTTCTTTTTATGGTCTCTGGAATTTCCTCCTTTCCTCCCCTGTCCACATTCTTCTCACTGTTATTGATCCTTCTGTCTACCTGTCTACTTCAGTTTTTCTATCAGATCCCCTGCTTACGAGCACAAGTACAGAAGTGTCTGTCTGGGCCTTGCTTGTGTTCACAAGCACTTTTGTTAACCAGGATATTGACCACATCAGAAGACCCTCTCCATGCTGCTTTGTTCTGGTCCTGCCTGTGACCTCCTCACTCACCATCTTGCCCTGGCTGCTTAAGCCCTTCTACATCTCCCTCACTTTCAACCTCCCAACCTGGTTATCAGCACCCAAAGTTGATAGTTAGGGGTGTATGACTCACCTGTGCCATCTCTGGCAGATATATGATCTCAGAAGTGTGAGACCTGGGCAGGTGGGGGTGGATCTGTGTTGTGCTTTTGTTTTGTTTTAGCTTATTGTTAAATATATATACTGGAAGAAAACAAATAATAAAATCGTAGTAGAAAGTTCCTTCTAAGCACAACCCAGAAGCCATTGTTAAAGGATCAGTCGAGAAAATTAATTTGGCCAAATGAAAAAGTCTGCATAGCCACAAATTACTACAATTAAAGTAAAATCTGCACAGAGCCACACTTGAGTATCCAAGAGACCAACACCTTGCTGGGCCATCGGGGTAGACTTCCTAGTGACAGAGGAAGACCTGCAGGCCTGTTCACAGCCTCTGGCGGGGATGGGGCTGCTGGCTCTCCTTACAGATGAGAAAACAACCAGGCTGAATTTCTTCAAGTTTGTGCTGGACAGTGGCAGAGCAGGACCTGAACGAACCCTTGCAAGGAGCCAGCAGGATAGCCAGCTGCAGTGTCCCGACACCACACCCACCATCCTTGCAAGGGGCTAGCAGCCTGGCCTGCTGCTGTTGGACTTGAAGACCTTTCATTACAGGCGGACGTCGTACAGCTCCAAGTCAAGGGTGACACCTGCTCAGTAAATTCAGCCTCATTCTGATCTCCCCAGGAGAAGCATCTGCTCAGGGGCCACTGAGAGAGCTGGGCCAGGGGGCCTAGAGAGAACCCAGAGTGTTCTGAAACTAATATAGTCAGGTTTAGTGTGGACTGTTGACATCACTAAAGTGACCACTCTTGGCCTCTGCAGAACTGCTGCCACCTCCATGCTCAGCCCTGCTCAGCAACTCATGCAGTACTGAATTGTTTGTTAGTCTCTCCCAGGAAGGTGTCATTCAGTAGATTTTTTTGACACACAAAGCAAGGATGTGGTTTCTATGTGAGTCTATGGTGAATGTTTTGAAGAGATATGTGATTTGTAGAAGGCCAAATTCAAGAATGCATACCATCTCCCTGTCATTTAGAATGTTCTCTCTTCTCTAGGGGACATCCGACACCCAAAGCGTGTCCAGCAGACTGATTTGGCTGCAACACTGGCAATTGGACTTGGTTTGCCAATTCCTAAAGACAGTGTGGGGAGTCTCTTATTCCCAGTTGTAGAAGGGAAACCAGTGAGGGAACAACTGAGATTCTTACACCTGAACACAGTGCAGCTCAGCAAGTTGCTGCAGGAGAACATGCCATCTTATGAGAAAGGTAAGCTAACTGGCAGTTCCCAGCCTCTGAGGTCACCATCTGTGCCCCGTGTTCCCATGTGCTTTGTGCTATGCATTGTGGTTGTCATGGGCTACTTTGTGTCTCACGCTCTTCCACCATGTCCCTGCCTTCCTGACCCTCAGAACCTCACCTGTCAGCCTCAGCACCCACAGATGTATCATCTAGGTGTGCTTCCTTCATAACTGTATTCATTCTGCTAACATTCACCATGTTCTTATGAGCCAAGGAGTGTTAAAGGCACTGGAGATAAGCACACATGGCACAAGGTTTCTGTCCTCACAAAACCTTCCAGAGGGAGGAAAGAAAAGTACCATGGTAGATGCCAGATGGCCACCTTGAGAAAGAATGCACAGGGAAGGGGAGTGCAGGAGTGGGTGCTGGCGACACGACTTACCTTTGAATAGCTGCCCAAGAGGGAGCCCCACAGGCTGAGGAGACCAGGTGCTGCAGCAGGGACATCAGAGAGATATGGGGGCCCACTGGGCATCGGAGGGCTTTGGCTTTTATTCTGGGTAAGGTGGGGGGGCACTGCAGGGTTTTGCACCAAGCCCAGAATCTTGGGCCTGTGTTTTCCAAGGCTCTCAGGAGAAAATGAGTCAGAAAGCAATTGCAGTGCTCTGAGGAGAGAGGAGGCTGCCGGTGGCAGTGGAATCTGGGAGAAGCAGTTACACTGTGGATGTTTTGAAGGGAGTGAAACAGGATCTGCTGGAGCACTGGGATACAAGGTCATAGAAGACCCATGGGAAGGATGGGCCTCTGTTCTCAGCGTGGCAGTGAAAGGGGGCTATCATACACTGCTGTGGGCAAGACTTTGACAGGAGCAAGTTTGCAAGGCAGGGTCGTGGGGCACAGTGACCAGGAAGCCATGAACAGAGTTCCTCAGCAGTGGGCAACTGTGTCAACTACTGGGAACTGACTGCTGACCTGGCAGTACAGGCTCATCAGGACCTGCAGACCAGCTTAACTGGATACTGGGGAAGCCTGGTTGGGGTGGTACAGGTGAGGACAACAGAAGGTGAGCAGGGAAATGGACTAGGTTGATGTGGGGCTGAGAGCAAGTGTTTTCAGTTTAAGTCAGAGCTACAAAGGATGTTTATGTGCCAATAGGAATGGTCCTGGGAGGAACAAAAAATTTTAAAAACAGTCCTTGGATAAGAATGTGCCTTCCTGAGGCCCTCTGTAGATATTTGAGTTTTGTTTGTTTTTAGAGCATTAGAGTTATACACAGTAGTTGGATTCATTTTGACAAAATCACATATGCATGGAATTTGATTTATTCCATTTCAGTCCCAGGTGCCCCCTTTTCTCCCTCCTTCTGTTCCACTGATCATCCTTCCTCTCATTTATTTATTTTTGGTTGGTGTTTTCTACCTACACATACAGGTAGAATCCTCTGTGGTATACTGACATATGCTTACAGCATGATTTTGTTAAATTCATTCCCCATTTTCTCCCCTTTCCCTTCCCTCCTCCCTCCCTCTCAATCTCCCTCTTCTATTCCATTGGTCTTCCCCTATATTTTTATGATATCCAATCCCCACCCCACCTTTTCCCCTTATTTTTCTTTAGCTTAAGCATATGAGACAAAATATTTGACCCTTGATCATCTGAGTCTGACTTGTTTCACTTAGCATGATGTTCTCCAGTTCTGTCCATTTGCTGAAAAATATCATAATTTTATTTTTATGACCAAGTAAGATTTCATTATGTGTATGTACCACATTTTCTTAATCTACTAATCTATTGACGAGCATCTGGGCTGGTTCCATAATTTGGCTTTTGTGAATTGCATTGCTATACACATTGATATGGCTATGTCACTGTAGTATGCTGATGTTAGACTTTTTGGATAAATACCAAAGAGTCAGGTAGCTGGGTCATATGGTAGTTCTATTCCTAGCCCTTTGAGGAATCTCCATACTGCTTTCCAGAATGGTTGTTTGAGTTTGCAGTCCTACCAACAGTGTATGAGTGTACTTTTCCCCCTGCATCCTCACCAGCATTTATTATTATTTGTAATCTTGATCATTGCCATTCTGACTGAAATGAGATGAAATCTTAGTGTAGTTTTGATTTACATTTCCCTGTTTGCCAGGGGTGTTGAACATTTTTTTATAATTTGTTGAATTGTTTTTTCAAATGCTTTACTCTGCCACGTCCAGGCACATCAAACACAACTCGCCTGACGCCAGGCCCCGTCTGGAATCTAGAGAAGGTGCCTCCAGTTTGAGGCAGCATTTGACCTGATGTTAGCAGGTCTTCCTCTTGGAGGTTGTGGGGTGCTGCCAGCAGCAGGTGACACTGTGAGTGTCACATGTAGAAAACAGGCCTTGCAACTGGGGACTGGCCAGGAGCCACGGGCAACAGGGCGGGAGGACCTGCTGAGCCAGCGCATAGCCATGAGGTGTCTAGAGAGGAGCTTCTTGCAGGTGAGGCCTGGGCAGCACACATTTCAGCCAGACCAAACCCAACTATTACTTTCGGTTGTTTGTTTTTATTTTTTCCAAAAATAGTTTTTATTAGCATGATGGTTTTTCATATTTATTGTGTTAATATGTACCCTTTCTCTTGCACTAGAAAAAACACCAATGAAAGTAAGAGACAACGGAAGCATTGTTTGCCTATTTCAGAAATATCAGGGTAGGAGAAATGGAGAGCCAAAGTGAGTAGGGGAAGAGATGACCCTGCCAGACAAACTCAGGACGGCCCCTGGAATGAGGAAACATCCCTGGGGTCCTACACCCCAAGAAGCCTATGTCCACACTGTCCATACATGTGCTGACACAGAGATGGTATAGCTCTTAGCAAAGCCTATAGAGACCCACTTTACCCATCCTGTCCTTGGGCAGTCTTTCCACTCTTGTGGGACTGGCTGTTCCTTGACTCAGGATCTTTGCCCATGCCTGGGATCCTTAACTTTCAGCTTACAAGTCAGACTATCCTTTTCCCACCCCACTTACAATCTTAAATCAGTTCCTCTCCATTACCAGAGGTCTTGCATTGTACCATCTGCTTTTCCTTTGCAGCATTTTTCTCATTATATAAGGGTGTGTGTGTGTGTGTGTGTGTGTGTGTGTGTGTGTGTGTGTGTGTGTGTCCCCTACAGAATCCTGCCAAGGAAGCAGGAATTGTACCTATTCACTCAACATGTGTCTTACCAAACATACTACCCTTGGCCTATAGTCAGGGCTCAGGAAGTGTTTGTTTGGATAAATGAACAGGTGGCCCCATGTCTCTGTGATTCCTAGATGGGGATGTTGTGGGGTATAGACACAGGTGCCTGTGTTTCTCTCTCTTAGAGGAACTGTGGACACAAGTGGCCCACTTCAGGGTGGGAGGTGCAGCATCTTGTTGCCAGCTTTGGAGTTTCACCCTTAGTTCAGATTTCTACTCCCACCGCTCTGTGAGTAGCAGGTGATGTGCCCTCTGTCTTAGATGCGGCCTCTGGAAACAGGCATGATGCTCACATGACACTCCCAGGTCATTGCTATGGAAAACAAGGAATAAGTTGCTTGGCCATTGCCTCTTCCAAGTCACATCCTCCAGCTCTCCCAGGTTGGCTTGCAGGCCTCAGGGTACACGTCTGGGGCTTGTGCCACAGGCTCTGCTGGGCAAGGCCCGAGGTGTGCTCACAGAATCCCTCAAGCTCAGTGTCTGATTGGGGAGCCTGCTGATAGGCACACTAAGACTGCCTTCCAGTGGCCCTTCTGGAGCATGAAGACTCAGAGAGGAAGTTCTTGGTTTACAGACCCATCTGGTTACTAGTAAGTGTGATCCAGCAAAGACTTAGCTCAGCCAGCTCTAGAAAAGGGCCATGTCAGCCTTGGTCTCCAGCAGACATGAGGCTGGGTTCTTTGGGGAGCTGGCATTCCATGTAGGCTGCACCACTGGCCATCCTGAGCAGGGACAGGCCTCAGTGGTGCTAGTGCAAGGACAGAGGGCCAGCCTTTGCTGGGGAGGTAGGCATGGTGGGCAAGGTCCCCACACACACTGCCAAGACAAGCATTCTGCAAAACAGGGCCTGTCAGTAATGCACTTCAGGGTAGTTTTAATACTGTACGAGAAGAGTGGAAAGAGACAACAGGGAGGAAGGGAAAAGGCAAGTGAGGGAGGTGAAGAAGGAATCCAGGCGGAGCAGCAGCAGACATTTCTGTCACTGTGTGTGCTGATGACCTAGGCCTGACAGTGCTGATAATGGACACACACATTTCCTCGGCTTCCTCAGCCCCTCCCCTAAAGGGACAGAGAGGTATCTGTCCTAAAAATGTGCCAAGAAAAACCGAATACTCTGGAATTGTGTCTGTTCTGACATGCGTGTGATCTTTTGGTTCTCTTGCTAGATCCCGGATTTGAGCAGTTTAAAATGGCAGAAAGGTTGCATGGGAACTGGGTCAAACTACACTTGGAGGAAAACCGTTCAGACGTCCTGCTCAGCCTTGGAACCAAGGTGCTCAGGCAGTACCTGGGTGCACTGAAGACCCTGAGTCTGTCTCTGAGCACACAAGTGGCCCAGTACGATATCTACTCGATGGCAGTGGGGACTGTCGTGGTTTTGGAGGTACGGATGTTCATGGAGCCATGGCTCAGGGGCTAAATTTGTTTGGTAACTCAGCCAAAATAGGACAGTTCAAAATATATATAATAAGGTTGTGGCTAAACAAGAAAACTGAATTTTTCAACCCTTTAGTTTTGTGCCTTGACTTGGACACAAAGCAGTGCATGCAACAGGTGTCTACCCTCAGCGTTGCCATGGGAAGAGAAATAATAAGGCATGTGGTTTGGGTAGACAGTTAAAAGTAATCCTTCAGTGGGCTCTTCTGACCTCGCTGTATGAGCAGCTGATGAGCTCAGAGGGTTGCCACCCGGTCACAGAAACCACTGGTGTTTTTCTGTTCCAGGTTCTCACCCTGCTCCTCCTCAGCACCCCACAGGCGCTGTGCAGAGGGGCTGACCTGGAAGTTCCTCTGCGGTCTCCTGTGTTTTCCCTGCTCTTTTATTTGGTATTCCTAGTTCTTTCGGCTATTCATGTCATAGTGTGCACCTCAGCCACAAGTTCCTGCTACCTCTGTAGCCTCCCATGGCCAGTGGCAGGAGGGCTGATGGTTCTGGTTTCCGCACTGCTCTGTGCAATTGTCTCCACTCTCACCAGGACTGTCATCGAGAGCACTCTCCTGAGGAAGGTAGGCTGTATCCATGTACGCTCTTGTTATGTTGGCCAGACTTCCAGTCATCAGACATTGGTTGAACACCTGGCATGTACCAGTATAATTCTGGTAGGGCAGTTCCCTGGGATAGCCACATACCAAAGGGGTTAGTTGGGAAGGACCTCAGCAGCCACCCAGACCTCTGGCATCTTGACTGCCAGGTTATGGTTGTAGTCAGGTCTCAGCCCTTTATTCTCAGTTGAGAAAAAAGGTTTCCTGAACTGGGGAGGAAGTAGAAGCAGAGCTGCTACACAAGGATGGGGAGTGTGAGTCTGAGTCCTAGTAGGCCCTTGCCCTGTGGCTGAGGGACAGTCTCAGGCAGACACACAGGATGGCCCTGCTCATCTGGTCAGCCTCACCAAGTACAGTTTTCTTTTCAAGGCTGACATTTTCCTTTGCAATTCTTAGTCTCTGGTTTGGCACCTTTGTTTGTGAGCTTAGAGATGGTGACAGGAAGAATGGATAGTTGCAGTTGGGTCCAGAGTGCCCTGTGCAGAGACTCCAGCCCCATCCCATGCAGCTGCCATCCCTCCTTGCAGGGGTCTCGGAGGCCCTCTGCTGTGTGGGCCCAGGCACTCATGTGTCCCTAGGGCATGATGGTCTTCATCCACAGCTGCATCTCTAGGGCCTGGCTGGGTGACTCTCCCTGGGTACCTCACAAGCAATGGTTTCAAAAGAATGCAAACAGTTGCGCCCTCATCTTGAGCTGTCTTTGGCCAGCCTGCTTCATGGATAGTACTATGTGCCACCCTTGTCATCTTAACAGAAACCATTGTAGTGGGGATCATGGAGTTCTGGAAATTCATGGAGAAATTAGATGTCTGGTTTAAGGAATTTATCAGGGTCCTTTGTTTTTGAACAACAGGAACTGGCATGGAAGCAGGAGCAGGAGGGCTGGGTCAGGATCCACTGGCCAGTGCTCCAAGCTCTATCACTGCCCAGAGAGCCCAGGTGCTTTCAGTCTCTGTCACCGAGCTTATGACTTACAGTCCAGGGTGAGGACAACTGGCCGGCCATGTGGTGTCAATGTCCCAGAAGCAGGGGAGGGGTCTTCCAGAATGGGCAGCAGGCACTGGGCTGAGGACCAGCAGGTATCTGTCACAGGGGGTTCTTCACTGTGAGTGAGGATTTTAGCACATGCAGAAAAACACATGTCATTTTCAGATTACTACAGAAAATGCATTTTCTTCTCACAGAATGCAGCTCTCCCCAGCTCCAGATGGTCAGAGATGGATCTTCTCCTGATGCTGGGCACAGCAGGCCACGTCCTGAGCCTGGGTGCCAGCAGCTTTGTGGAAGAGGAGCATCAGACCTGGTACTTCCTGGTCAATACCCTGTGTCTGGCTCTGAGCCAAGAAACCTGCCGTAGCTGCTTTCCAGGAGATGACAGCAAGCCTCAGCACAGTGTCCACATGCTGCAGGACAGTGCAGTCTACAGAGCCCCCATACTCCACAGAGCAGGCCACACCTCCCCCTCCTCAGAAGCACTTGGGGGCCACACACGGTGGGCTATCCTGGCAAGCCCCTGGCTGGTGCTGGCCTGTTGCCGATTGCTACGGTCCCTGAACCAGACAGGAGTGCAGGGAGCCCACAGGCCTGACCTCGGCCTCTGGCTCACCAGGTAAGCATGAGCCTCAGCTATGGGCTAGACCCTCTGTAGGTGATGGTCACACACTACGTCTTTTACATTTAGGCCTGTTTTATCTTACGAATAGGATAATGTAAGAAATCTAAAGAAATGAGCAAATGTAACTCAGGAACGAGTGTTGAAAGGTGGCCTGATAGATTTTCGGTGCTGAATCACAGATAACTGATCATGATTAAGACCCTGAATTCTAGAGTGACTGCTCCTAAGATATGACTCTAGGTTGAGCTCATAGTGGCTAAATCTGCTCTGCTGCCTGGGACAGGAAGGATGAGGTCAGCTGGGCAGGGGGCTGGGGCCTCTGCTGCAGCCCTGCCCTTTGTAGCTCCTTTTTCCTCTTGTCATCCCTCTTTCTCCATCCGGGAGGACAGAGCGTGTGACGATGGTCAGCACTATGAGCCTCTTACTGTGGCTGGAGAGCACAGAGAAAGTGAACTATAGCAGACAGGAGCATTTAAAGTAAGGATGGTACACACGAAGGAAACTGAGGCAGAAGTCAAGATGGCTCTTTTACTGGGGTGCTAAAATGAACAAGAACAGCAAGAAGAGTAGACGGTGACCATCTGCTCAATTCACGGACCTCATAACTGCATAACACAGCAGCAGTGCTGCTCCTCTGGGGCCCAGGGAGTTTCAGGCTCACATCGCAGGTTATCTTGCACCTGTGATGATGAAGCCCAGCTTGAGCACAGGTGAGCCGAAGAACCCTGGCCCCTCATGGCCTCTCCTTTGGGATTCCCTAGTGCTGAGTCAGCGAGTCAGCAAGTTGCGTGTTCCAGCAGACCGCTGGTATCTGCCTGTGTCCCAGAGCAGCCCTGGAAGTGAACACCCAAGCTGGAGATTAAGGAGCAGGGCTAGAGAGAGGCCAGGCCACTGAGCCCGACTCTGTGAAATTCCTGCCCCAGAAGAGCACAGTGACACCCCCACTTCGTATTTTCTTGGGAAATTGAAGCATTGGAACAGTCCTGGCATGTTGTTGGCCTGTCATCTCAGGCATGGACATGCTGCCGCCTGCCTCCTGAGCTGTCCTTGCGCTGTCCGAGCATTCCTGTTGATGGTAAAGAGGCAGCAGCATCCTGTTGGAAAGGCCCCTGCCTTCTGTGTGGTGGTATGCCGCAGTGCAGAAGAGCACCCGAGATGGTGGTGCAGTTCAAACCAGGCGACCCCAGGAAGGTCCACGGTGCTGACCATCCTCCTGACTTGACACTGCTACATCACTCCTCAGATTTCAGAAGTCTTTTCCCCTTTCTGTGTGTGCCTTGGAAGAAAGTTACTCGTCCATTTTACCACTGCTGCCAGTCTGAGCTGTGTGAGTATGAGCTGTGTACCATGTACTCTGACCACTCCTCCTCACCCAGGAGACTGCGGGGTGGCAGCCTGTGAGTTCATCTGTGTGAGTGAGCGGCACAGGCCAGGAGAGGAGGGTCCAGGGGACTGGGACCGTGTGCACCTCTGAGTCCATCTGTGAGGGGAAGGGAGACTTCAGCTTGACAGTCTTATTTGTAACGTTTGAAGAACCTTTGTTTGAATTTGAACAACCAGCCTTTTTTTTTTTATTTCCTTATCAGGAAAATTAGCTGTTTTTACATAGCTATCATTACTATGAGACTCAGAGGTCACTAGTTGGGTAATGATTCTGCATTTTCTGTTTCATTTCAGCTCTGACCACAAGGTGGAGCTCTCTGGTCTGGCCGCTCTCTCCCTGCTGGTGATCTTCTTGTTGGTTCAGAGAGGGTGCTCCCTGGTGTCCAGAGCAGCTTTGGCACTGGGGCTGCTGGGTGTTTTCTGCTACAGGGCAGCCATTGGGAATGTGCTGTTTCCATGGCAACCAGGCAACAAAGGCTTTTCAAAGTAAGTGCACTGGACACGTGAGAACTTGATTTTAGAAGTATCTTTGTATTTTATGGTAATTTATGTCCTAAAAAATGCCATGCCAATCTTACAGCACTAGGGCTTGGTTTTTGTGAATGGTGATTCCATCAGCAGCTGCTAGAGCTTACCAAACCTTAATGAACTACTCTGTTAATTCTTTTAGGAGAGAAAGAAAACTTGGAAATAAGGTCATTGAGATATGACTGTAGAGATGAGAGGGTGACAGTGAGTGCTGCTCCCCAGCAAGTGGGAAAGGAAGCAGAGAGCCTCGTAATTTACAGTGCTCCCAGAGGGCCAGGAGCTCGTGCTACGCCTATCAGGAGCACTCAGTCACCACTGTTTCCACCTGCTAGTGGCCACTCCTCTGCTTGGGGGTATGATGGTACAGGCTGTGCCTACTCCCGAGGGGTGGCAACCATAGCTACCCCTTTGACAGGCTGTCTTTCTTCTTAAGCAGTTCTTGAGGTAAGGCAGAGGGCAGGAGGGATGGAGAGGCAGGCAGGCTCCCTGAGGCATCCCTTACAGCTGCGAGAGTCAGGACAAGGCAGCTGTCTGATGAGAGTGGTGACCCTCACAGTTCTATGGAAGCTCTCAGGCAGGACACTGTGTACCAGCAGTCGGTAAAACTGTCATATGACCCCAACAAGTGTGTTTCACTTTCCATATTTATAAAAGACTGAAATAAAATATTGGTAATTATATTTAGAACCTGAGGTCATAGGTGGATTGTAATCTTCCTTTCTACGTATTATTAAAACTTATGTGTGTCTAGAATTCACAAGTATGGCTTCTCTAATTAAGCAAAGGTCCAGCTCTGAGCAGGGGTCGTGGCGGGGCTATGCAGGTGGTTGTGGGGTTCAGGGGCATTCCAGAAGCATGTGCTGACAGAAATGGTGTTGAGGCAGTGCCTGCTGACAGGGGGCAGCAGCATGGTAGAGCTTCCTGCCCCAGAGGCTGGGGAGGTCGGAGACACCTCAAAAGCTGTTGGCTTCCCAGTCTGAGACCTGGCAGACTTCCAGGCTGAACACTGTCACACAGTGCAGTATGTGAATGAGTTCCTCATTTCTTCCCAGGTTTATGTGCCTGATGTCAGCATCTCTCACTTAAAGACTTCAACCACCTTGCCTTGTCTTGCCTGCTATCTGCAGCATGTCCTTTGCTGGTGTCCAGAACATAGCCAGTGTGCCTTTTCTTACTTTCTTTTCCTTATTTTTTAGTTGTAAACAGACACAATACCTTTATTTTATTATTTATTTTTGCGTGGTGCTGAGGATTGAACCCAGTACCTCACACATGCCAGGCAAGCGCTCTACCACTGAGCCACAACCCCAGCCTGCCAGTGTGCCTTTTATTTCAGTGTGCTTCCTATAAAATACATCCATCCCTCTGCCCATCTGTCCTGCTTCTGAATACTTCCTGGTTCCAGATCCACCTGGTTCTGGATCTGCTATGGTTCTAGATTCATCCAGTATTCTAAGATCCCTTGCTTTTGGTACCTCACTCACTTCTCCACTCAGAAGCCAGGCTTGGCTGGAGTGTGAGGTCAAGCAGGGTAGTCCTGGGGGTGCCAGAAGCACTGATTACCAGAGCGAGGCAGGTCCATGGGAGATGTCCAGTGATACCTCCCTCCTGTTCACCACCAGCAGCTCTGTCATCTTGTCCTCAGGCAGGCCCTCTTCTAGTCCCTCTTTCTCTTTGAAACTTCTTCAGTGGTTCTGACCTCAGAACCCACCTGGACTGTTCTCACTTTCGTCTTGGCCTGGGCATGGCAGGACACCTAAACTCAGCTGTCCAACCAGGGCCATGTAACAGGCACATGGCACACAGTGCCCACACCATTTGGATTAAACCAATCAAATTAAAAAATGAATATTTTTTAAGGCATAAACATTTCTAAGAAAACCTAACATAGGAACTCATTTTTCAAAACTGATATTATGTTGGTATTCACTTAAAATTTACTTAGTTAGCATTATTTTATTTTAAATGATCAGCTTTTTAAGTTTATATAAAAAATATATGTTTTAGGAATATATGTGGCATGGTGGCACGTGCCTTTAGTCCCAGAAATTTAGGAGGCTGAAGCACAAGAGTCACGAGTCTAAGACCAGCCTGGGCAACTTAATGAGACCCCAACTCAAAATAAAAAAGGGCTAGAGTAGAGTTCAGTGGTAAAGCATCCCTAAATTCCATCCCCAGTTCCTCAAAAAAAAAGTAATATATGTTTCATAAGATGAAGTTCTCACGTGTGGTGTCATAAATTATATCCTTTATAGATTTAAATGAAGCTCTCAAGTACTTTGTTCAACATAGCACTAAGTATGTATCAAGTGTTTACTATCTGCCAAACACTTTATATGCTCTCTGTTGCTAATTGCTAGGACAGGCATGTGAGTTGTTGATGCTGCTCTGTTCTTTCCACAAATGGCAGAGCTGAGTGTCGAAGTCAAAAACAGAGCTAGTAAGCAGCAGAGACAGGACCGAGTGGCTTGGACCATGGTACATTTTCCACATGTGTACATATAATTGTGCAGATCCTCGTTTAGATTTGCCTTACAGTGACACGCTCAGTTGCACACTTAGCATTTGTGAACTTGTAGACATTCCTGACAGCTGGGCTAGCACAGAGGATTTCAGTTAACAATGCAAAGCAGGTAGGTGGCTTTTCTGGTATGCTGCAGGGGTGTGGCTGTGGTCTTGCAACCAGGTGATCCTTGGACCACATGAGCAAGACTTCACCAACTCCATAAGGAAGGCACACATCAGGCTGCCCCTTGCAGGAAGATGGTGGAGGTGACATCCCTTCCACAAGGGTGTCACAGCCCCCTTAGCTGGCTGGGCACATTCAGGCATTCCCCAGTTATATGTGTTTTTCATGAGAAAATATGTATTTGAATTTTTCTAGCTGGTATGAATGAATTAACTTGTTTTGCTCTTTTTTTAGGGGTATTATTGAAGCTCGTTTTGTTTATGTCTTTGTCCTTGGCATTCTGTTCACGGGCACCAAAGACTTGCTTAAATCCCAAGTCATTGCTGCAGACTTCAAAATCAAGACTGTAGGTTTGTGGGAGATATATAGTGGATTAGTTCTTCTGGCAGCATTGCTCTTGAGACCACATAATCTTCCGGTATTAGCCTTTAGTCTCTTGATTCAGACTGTAATGACTAAATTCATCTGGAAGCCTCTGAGACATGATGCAGCTGAGATTACTGTAATGCATTATTGGTTCGGTCAAGCATTCTTCTATTTTCAGGTAGGTTGTTGTTATCTGGGTAGAAGACTATTAACTTTCAACGTCATTTAATCTTTTAGTTTTCTTTGAGAAAATTTTACAAGTTGTAGAGTGATATTTGTTCAGTGGAAGAATTGTCAGTATGCATGATGAATTATGCTTCAATTTCATGTGATACTTTAAGAGTAGAGTACAGCTCCAAGGTGTGGATGAATGGGTGTAAGACAAGATTGCTGCTTTGCAGGGTCAGGGGGTCACCTAGTACCGACAGTCTAGGAGGCGGGTCTGCCCTTCACTGGCTTCAACAGTTAGTCACTGTGCTTCCTCATCCCTTTACCCTTGATATTGGAGCTATCCACCCTGGGGCCTGAAGGATGGTCAGGGCATCTCTCCAGTGTTCAAAGACCCATCAGCAGCAGGCCAAGCCCACTTTGGGTATGCAGGGATAGGACAACTCCTGGACAGGGGGCAAGCCTAGGAGGGATCCAGTTCCACCAGCCTCCTGGGATCCCCAGAGCAGGTGCCACCTCTCCTCTGATCCCCTCCCAACTCAGCTTCCTGACTGATCAGCTACGGGACATCTCTCTGTCTCCTCCATCAGCCTTCTTATGTCAAACAGACCCAGAGGCTCCCAGAGGCTTGCCTGGCTGTGTGTCCCAACAGGTCAGCCTCTTCCCCAGCCTCCTCTGCTCTTGGTTTCCTGTGCTCCCAGCATTACCTGTGGAGCAGCCCACAGCTAAATGGCTTGTCTCTGTTTGACCTCAAAGCCTAAGAGTGGTAGGTGAAATTAGAGAAATCTTTTAAGTCCTTGTGTAGCATGACCAGATGGAGACCATCATGCTGTAGAGTTCCCTGGCCTCCCAACTATCTCAGCCCCTGGTCACTCACTCCATATGCCAGCTAAGCTTCCCCACTGTAGACTCTGCTCCTGTGGAAGGCAGGGGCCCCTGGATGCCAGCATAGGGGTCCTTAAGAGAATGCACAGCCGCAGGCACAGATGCTAATATCCAGCACTTCCCACCCGGTAACCTCTGGCAAGCACCTGCTTCACCTTAGTTTCCTTATCTATAAGCTGGGGACAGTGTATAGTGCCCTTATCCGGGTTGTAGTGTGGCCAGGAGCTTAGTTGTGCCTGGCCCTGGTACTGAACATTTATGATGCTGGTCGAAGAGACAGCTTCTGGAGCACACTTTGCTCCAGGTTTGGCCCAGCTTCCAGTGTGGCAGGAGGCAGCATGGGGCAGCAAGCAGTGCACTCTGAGCTCTGCAGGCCACACCACTAGTGTTTCTGCACCAGGTACCCCCCTGTGCTGGGCTCCAGGCCTCACACTGACAGCCAGAGGAGTCCCTCCTGCTGTCTTCTTGTCCTTCTGTTCTCTGCCCCTTACTTCCCTCCCTGACCTTCAGGTTGAGCTTCTTTCCCTTCACTGTCAGGTTTCCTGGGAGAAGAGTCAGAAGCTTTGCTTCTCCTGCATCCTTCTCTGAGCCCTGCATTTCCTCCACAGCATGAGGATGGGAACATGGGTGTCCACTTGTGCTGGGTCCTGGTCTCTGTCTCAGTTTCCTCCCTGTGTACCGCATCAGCATGGTTGAGGGTTATGAGTTCATACAAGTAGAGCTTTAGCATGTGCAGCCTAGCTGCTGAACCACAAGGTCAGCCCTCTCTGCAGACTGATGCTGTTTGGGGGCTGCCATCAGTCTCCCAGAGCCAGACCTGCTCCTGTACAACCAGGCCTCCTGCCCCTCATCCTTCCTCATGCTTCTTTCCCATGGAAGCCCCTCCCCACTGCCCCCACCAGGAGTTAGGGAACAGCTCACTGTGAGCAGAATGAGTTTCAGGGGAAGATGTACTGTGGCGTCTGCAACAGGTATGGCCTCACACAGGTGAGCAGGGAGTGAGCAGTGCATACCTCTGCCACAGGTGTTCCTGGAACCACACCTGACAAAGGATGAGGGAGGGGGTTTGGGACACCCAGTCAGGGCTCAGGTAGGCAGTTCCAAGAGGGGCCTTGGCTGCGCCTTGTGGACGCAAGTGTGCCACGGACCATATGCTTCCTCAGTGTCTGAAGAGGGTCCTCATGACACAGAGATGGAGGGTCATCACTGCCAGCAGACTGACAGTAAAGTAGCAGAATCTTGGCAGATCCACTTTTTGATCCAAAATCCCATAGCAGGATGAGCTATGTGGCATTGTCCCCCATGTCCCATATCTTATGACCCACCAGGGCTGGGCTACAACCAGCCAGAATGTGGGCAGCAGTCAGAAAAGCCACCCTCAGTAGCAGAATGTTCCCTCCCAGAGCAGTTGTCCCACTCTGCCACATGATTCAGCAGTATCCATCAGGACCCACTGTATAGACAGCACTTGACCTCCAGCCCAGTGTCCCCTCAGACAAGCTGGGCAGCTGTGCCTCACAGGGCCACTTGCATCACCTTGGAAGGCCCTTGTAGGACATCCACACGTGTATCAAGGTCAGCCTCTGGGTCTGCCAGAGGTGTGGGTATGCTTCAATAGCCAGCAGACTGGCCTGTGCTAGTGGCACAAGACCTAGTACTCCACTCCTTCCTCCTGGGCCTATATCATGTGGCAGGCAGATGGACAGGTCACCCACAGCCAGCCTAGTGACCTGAAGAAATGGCAGGCAGTTGGCGCTCACCAGAGCCTCTGGCTCTTCTGACTGTGTGTCCACATTGGTGTGTTCATCTGAGCCGTATGTGTGTGTGTTTCACGTTAACATAGTGGTGGTTGGTGTCTGTATTGCTAAACCAGTGTCAACCCTGTTCTCCTGTGTTCCAGGGAAACTCCAACAACATTGCCACCATTGACATCTCAGCAGGCTTCGTGGGTTTAGATACCTATATGGAAATTCCAGCCACATTCCTGACAGTGTTTGGGACATATGTAGGTCCTGTGCTGTGGGCCAGCCACTTGGCACACTTCCTGAGCTCAGAAGCAAGCAGGTGAGGTGCTTTCTCTGTCTTCTAGCATAAATCTAATGGCAAGTTGCCTGTTCTTAAAAGTGAAACTTATTCTGGATAAGGGCATCAAAACCCCAAGGGTTAGACCATCTTTTCACAGATTTTCTTTTCCTTAAATAAACAAAGTTTGTAGCTCAGAGGCCTGGGTGGGTCTGAGGCTCTGTGGGCCAAGTTCAGGTCTCCCAGTTCAAACCACACAGTGGAAATTTCTCTTGCTTGTTGGTATTGGGAGGGAAGCTAGTTCTTCCCCTTGGGGGCAAGAAGACAAAAGACGCTGGCTCTTGGCTTCCAAAAGCCCTGCCACAAGGAAAGGCCCCAGAAGGGGCTGCCGCCCATACAAGAGGCTGAAACCAAGCAGGGAGAGTTCAGAGACAATTGCACACCAGCAAGGCCCTCCTGGGGGATTTGCACACATGTGCCTCCCACCTGCACAGCATGCCCTCACCCTTCCCTGCCTGTTCTCTCGGCTGCAGCCCTACCTCCTTAGGATTTGCAGTTTCCTCCTTACCTGTGGATTTGTGCTCAGTTCCTCCCTGACAGGAGGCTCCATGGATCTAGCCTTCGCCAGCTTGTTCACCAGGCAGCCTCAGTGCTGGGTAACCCGCCTGATGGAGTCAGCCACAGCAGAGCGTGGGCAACTTGTTTCTGAGTCCCCCAGGGTAGCCAGAGGGCCGCCCATAAAGCTTCCCACCCCAAGCTCTACGTGCACATTAGGGTGCAGGTGAGAGCCAAGTGCCTTCCAGCCAGCTGACCCACAGCCCTTTGAGGGTGAGAACTTCATCTCCAGCCAGACCCTAGCTTTCTGCAGATAAAGGACACCTAAAACAGTCAGCTGCACTCAGGGCAGTGTGTGGACAGACTCCACCGTGAGGCTCACCCAACCCACGATCAGGGCCAAAACTGAGCTCTGAGGCAGAGCTTCTGCTCACAAATCTGGAAGTTGCCTCTCTGCAGCTGTCTAGGATGCTGTGTGGGTGGGTTGGAGACAGGCTGCAAGTGGGCACTGGACTTAGAGAAACAGAAGCCCCTTCCTTGGCAGTAAACACCAAGAGGGCCACAAGTTGTGGGGACTGTCCACCTCTGGCTGCAGGGACTGGCACATGGCTGAGCACACTTTGGGTGGAACCCAACTGCACAGGTGCAAAGGATGCGGCTCATCCTCCGTCTGCCTGGCAGGCCTTCTGTAAAGAGCAGCAGTCTTGGCGCCTTGGAGCTGATGACCGACATGCACAGCAGGCACATCTGTGTTTTGGAGAAGAGACAGCATCTTCCAAAAAGAGTTTTAATCGATTTGATGGCTTCTCTGATTAAGGAATTATCTTGCACTTTAGAACTGGTTTCTGAAGCTTAAAACATCAAGCTGAATCCGCCTCCCTTTTGTCCCAGTGAAGTAAGAAAGCTGTGAGCACATCTAAAGGGCACACAGAGCAATACTAACAATAGGTCAAAGCTGCATCCACTTGCTCCCTGCAGCACAGGTGTCCTGTGCCAGGCGATTAGAGAGTAGTAAGAAATGTGTTTCCATTCAGGGACTGAGGTGTGGCTTCTGAAGAGATGGTGTTTTGGACTGTCAGCTGGAGGACGAGGCAGGGTAGGGCTGTGTGGCAGCTCACCTTACATGAGCCCTTGCGTGGAAAGGAAGCTGTGGTGGGCCCTGAACACTCCCCTGGGGGCCAGCCAGAGCCCACATACTATGAAGCTTGTGCAGAGTGTGCACCTTTTAGAGGTGTTGGTGCCGTTGCCTAGGATGTGGCGAGGCAGCTCCTGTTGGGACCAGCAGGGTACCCCAGTGCCACAGTTGCGGGGGAGCAATGAAGGGACATAAACTGACCATAATGCGAAGGCTACGGACCACTGGGTTGTGTTAGTGGCTCTGAAGGGGGTCAGAGTTGCGGCCCACCCAAACAACAGGTCCAGTTTCCTTGGGGGCAGATCCTGAGTGGCAAGGAAGGTCTACAAGCAGTCAAGCTTGGCCTGTCCAAGAACTGAAGACACAACCCTCACATGCCTTCTTCCCTCTCAGAGCTTATTGTTAGTGATGCACCCTGCGCCCAGTGGGTACATCTTCTCTGGTGCACCTGCAGGAAATCAGCACAGGTTCTGGAAATGGGTGAGCACAGGGAGGTGCACAGTGCTCTCCAGTACAGGAGAAGAGTCTTCTTCATGTCTGGTCCCGAGTTGGGGGCAGGAGCTAACCCACTTCTCTTGTTGACAGTGGTCCTGCACTGAGCCGTGCTTGCTTCTGCTATGCGCTAATCTGTTCCGTGCCAGTTGCCACGTATCTCATCCTGGTGACGTCCCTGCGCTACCACTTATTCATATGGAGTGTGTTTTCTCCAAAGCTCCTCTATGAGGGTATGCATCTGCTCATCACAGCGGCCCTCTGTGCGCTCTTCACAGCTGCAGATCAGAACAGCCGTGCAGGGCCAATACAGAGGTGGACACTGGAAATGGGCGGCTCTTAAAGTCTGCTGTCTGCCCTGTGGGTTTGAGTACTGAAGAATCTATTAGATGCAAGTTCCATCTAAAAAAAAGATGTGAACTTATGAAGTTGGTAACCAGCTTCAGCTGTACTTGAATTTAGATTAAGGAGTAAGTACTTTAATAAAAGGTGACTTTAAAATACTACAGTGTGTATTGTGGTTTCCCTATTGCCAATCACTCCAGAAACTTGTGCACTTGTAAGTTCCTCTGATGTTATGCATGTTATGATGTGTGTTTAAACTAATGAACAAAGATCCTGGAGTGTCCTCAGAGTGCCTGGGGCCCCTGGGCAGGGGGTTACCTGCTCCAGGAGCCACATTATGGCACCCAGGCCCCTGAACACTCCAAATCCATGGACACCCAGGGGCATTGGCTTATGTGGGAGAAGTCCATCACTGCTGATAGCATTTTAAATGAACACTCTTCGTAGAAATTGCTCCTTTAAAGATAATCTATTTTTGTTAATATAAGGATTCTTTTCTGGGGTTTTTGTACATATACCGACAAGGGAGTTTCATTATAAGTTACATCTTTGCCTAATTAGAGAAAAGTAGAGCTGCTTGTTAAATATCTGAAGCATTCTAAAAGAAATTGAATATAACATTTTCAAGAAAAATAATTATATTTTCCAAAAAGTTTTTTTAAAAAATTAGCAAGTGTTTTAGTCAGCTTTTTTGCTGCAGTAACTAAGCACCCAACCAGAACAATAGTAGATGAAGAAAGTTTAAGAGGTCTCAGTCCATAGACAACAGAATCCAGCAGGAGGCAGCTCACATAATCAGTAAGCAGAGGTACAAGATATACCAGATACACCACTCACCAGATACAAATATCCACCCCAAAGCCATAGGCATGCCCACCTCCTCCAGCCACACCATAGCTGTCTTCAGTCAACAATCAATCCCACCAGAGTAGTAATTCACTCTTTGGGTTAACTCTCCAAATCCAAATCACTTCAACAACCTGTTGTTTTCTCTCACGTGGGATAATGGGAAATACCTCACATCCAAACAATAACAGTGAGAAGGACATTTTAAACTTTTAAAAATCTGTCTTATATCTGATTCAGTTGAAGATACTGTCTTCCTCTTGTGAGGAGTTTACAGAGCAAGAAGCAAGAGAGCTGCACAGACCTAAGGACAGGGAAAATGAGAGCCTCAATGTCCTCCTCACACACACTGTGGATGGGCAGCAGTGGAGTCAGTGTCCTCCTCACACAGACCTGTGGAGGGACAGCAGTGGGAGTCAGTTCCTCCTTACACACACCTGTGATGGACAGGAGTAGAGTCTCTTCAATTTTTTTTTTATTTGAACTACTTTCAAATACACATTATTCTTAAAGAGGGATATTTATTTGCAGAGTGGAGCTGCTACAGTGTGCAGGATCTTTCATGCCCTGTGCATTGCAGCCAATTGTTTGTTCCTTTACTCTGAGTTGGTGTCTGCCCAGGTGCTTTAGTGCAGGTACCTTTCTGTTTAAGGAATGGCATGTGCATATGCTTCACATGCTGGGATGGTATTCAGTCGATGCCTAAGCACTTCTCAGCTCCCCACCCAACTCATCAGTTAAGTCCTGAGGGTTTGCATCTCCATGTTTTTCCAGACTTTAGTTCATGATGAAATCTCAGTAGTGGTGATTGTCAGCACACTTGACCATCAAGATTCCAACTTCCAGAGTCCACTCTTTCTATGAAAATTGTCTGTGTGTTTAATGGGTCAGTCCCCCTTGGCACCCAGAGAGTGCTGGTGCTGGGCACTGGCCAGTGGCCCTTGCACAGCGTTTATGACCTCCCCTCCTGAACATACAGATCCAGTGAGATATCCCTGCTGCTGCTCAAGGGTGTTCTTGGGAGCCGTCGTGGGAGCCCAGGACATGTGGGGCCGGCCTTCCTCTGTGCCAGGCCAGCAGGTTTCGCACTGCTGCCTTGGCCTCCAAAGCTCTACTGATTCAGAAGAAGAAGGCAGCCTGAGAAGAGCTAGGCAAGAGGACTAAGACATGGAAGCTTCATCACCCAGGAGCGGCAGTCAGTGACATTCAGTGACTAGATTCACAGCTCTGGGTGGGAGGTCGTGAGGGTATGTGGGGGGACACTCTCAAACTCTACCGCCTCGTCTGGACCTTGGTGAGAGCCAGAACTTCTCCCTACAACCCTCTCCTCAATGGTCATCCGCTCCACACCAGGAAAAGCCTGCCTTGGTTCCAGACCTGATCCCTGTTACCGCTGTTTACCGGTGATGAGTCCTTGCTTCCCAAATGCCGAAGTATAACACCAGAGAAGCACGTGGAGGCAAGCCGAGAGTGGAAAGTGGAAGGCTTTATTATTAAAGGACAGCAGAAAAGACTTCTCCATGGAGGAAGAAGGACCCCAAAGGCTGAATCCTTGGAAGGGTAAGGTCTTCCCTTTTTATAGCTAGGGTCTTCTTTTAGTCCTCCCACACTCCAGTCCTTTGTTTCCCTCTATCCTGCAGTGATAGAATGCAGGTGGGAAGGCCAAAAGGTGGGAGGTAGGTGGGCTGAAGGAGTACTTTGGGCAGGATGGGCCTGGGGCCATTTTTGATTAGTACCTCTGTGTTTGCTGGGAGCTGCTTCATTAACAGTTCCTTAGGATGGGATCTGGGCCTTAGGGACATTAACATTCCAATTTCCCCAATTGCAACTCTGGTTTCCTGGACCCCATTCTCCATAATGGTCTCCATTGTCTTTATCTTCCTCCATGTTAGATCCAATTTACCTAACTACACTAACTACCTATCTTTAAATCTGGCCTCTCCCTACGACCCTCTCAACAGTCATCCATTCCACACCAGGAAAAGCCTGCCTTGGTTCTGGACCTGATCACCATGGTCTAAGTGAGTGTGCATCTGCTGGACATAAAGCCTAAGGCTTAAGACTTTTGAACTTAGCACGCAGAAGAAATGTCTGTCATTAACCTGTCAGGATTAAGTGTGTTTTGCAGTGCTTAGAATTAATCTAGAATTGTTTGCTGTGAATTGATTATTAATCTATTGCAGTGCCTAGCATTAAGGATTGTGGTTTTCTTGATTAAGAACCTATAGAGTGAAATTGTATGGAGTAATTTGAGTGAATAAAGCATTGAAAGGGGCAGAATCGTGTGGACATTCTTTATTTCTCCCCTTGACTGCATACATCACAATTTTTCCCCTCGTGACAACTTTCCAAACATTTTTTTTAGATATAGCTATCTTTTTTTAAATTTCTTACATACATGACTATAGTGCAGTGCATTATGATCATAATCATCCATTCACAGCACAATTTTTCGTAACCCTGTAATATGTTCATGCCAAATTATGCCATTATACATACGCTCTCTTATTATTATTATTATTGCATTACAATTCTTAATACACCTTTATACCACAGTTTATCATATCTCTGTTTGTATATAAGATGAAGATTACCCTAGATAGGGAAGCGGGGTGGGAGGGAAATAGAGGGAGAGGAGGAATAGCATGGATGTTGGAAGGAGACCCTCATTACACAAAGTACATGTATGAAGATGTGAATTTGGCGTCAACTTTCCAGGCATTTGCTGACAGAACCTACAGTCGGCTGCACTTGCTTCCTGAGGCCTTGATGAAGGATGCAGTTTCACTTGCAGTGTGGCAATTCCTTGGCCTTTCTCCACTAGCAACTGCGTCCTGTGAGTTGGAACAGTTTCACCCCTCCCCTTCCTCTCTCTGCCTCTTATTTATTTTCCTTGACATGTCGTACTGCACAGAACCCCAGTGTGGTGTTGAGCAGCAGTACTGGGAAGAAGTCCCTGCTCTGCTCCCAAGGGTGGGACGCTGTTCTGTCTCCATGTCAAGTGTGACTCAGCTTGTGCCAGAGTTGCCTGTGCCAGAATAAGGAAGCTCCCCTTCTCCTTTGCTGAGTTTCTATTTGTTCTTACCATGAGTTAATCTTGGATTCTATGAAGTGACTTTCTTGTCTTTTCTTTTTTTAGCTGCAGAGGGACACAATATCTTTATTTTATTTATTTATTTTTATGTGGTGCTGAGGATCAAACCCAGAGCATTACACATGCTAGGCAAGTGCTCTACCACCGATCCACAACCCCAGCCCTTGTCAGCTGCTTTTCTGCATGAATTATGTTAGTCATATATTTCTTCTTTATTCTGTTAAATTGTTAAACCAAGAATTCTTGATACCAATGGATTTCTAATCTAATAGGGTTTATTAGGATTCTAACGGCTCCTAGCCAGGAAAAGGAACAGGTTCCTGTAACTACAGCAGCAGGACTAGGTTCACCAGACGAGAGCTAAGATAATTTTTTAGATGATGAACACCTGGAGAAGGCAGGCACAGTTGTTTGCCTGGACCCTCTGTAGGCTGCAGACAAGCAAGGCAGACCACATGCACTAGAGAAAGCTCCAAGGCAGAGGTCAAGGCTGCTCTCCTTGCTTCTGGGCTGGTTGGGGGTCTAGCAGGATGGAGAGGTGTCAAGAGCCACCAAGGGTTTCGGGGAAGGTTTACACACACATTCTGGATGTGAGGCAGCCTTGCTTCCACCCCTGGCTTGATTAACCTCCTCCATCTCTCCTTCTTTCCGTTTTTTTGTTTGTTTGTTTGTTTGTTTGTTTGTTTGTTTTTAACTATGAGTGAAATTCTAAGTCTGTTTAGCAAGGTCTCAGGAGAGGCAAGGTCAATTCGTCTGCATGTTCTATTAAGTGCCTGCATGTTAAGTGGTGCTTGACCAGTGAACCACAATCCCCAGCCATTTTTTTTAATTTTTGTATTTTATTTAGAGACAGGCTCTTGCTAAGTTGCTGAGGCTGATTTGAACTTGTGATGCTCCTGCCTCAGCCTCCCAAGCCTCTGAGATCATAGGTGTGCACCACCATGCCCAGCTGCCTTCTAGTCTTCATTAAATTTAAAACATGCCAGAAGTTTTAAATTATCAATATGGTAGATCACTTTATTTTTTTAAAATATTATTGTGGCCTTAAATTGCTGGGATAAACCCCATGTGGTGGTGATATGTGGTTTACATGTCGAAGGACTTGATTCACTATTGTTTAGTGAACTTCTGCATGTTCATGAGGGCTATTGGCAGGCTGCATTCTTTCCTTGGTATTATACCTTAGATCTTAAATGACCCCCAAAAGCCATGTGGTAAAGGCTTGGCTGCCAACCTGGGGTCTGTTGGGAGGAAGACAGATCTTGCCCTTGAAGGGAACTCTGGGACATCCACCCTTGCGCTCATGTGTGCACTCGTTCTCTCTCTCTCTCTCTCTCTCTCTCTCTCTCTCTCTCTTTCTTGGCTGACAGAAGGTAAGCCACTTCCTTTGTCTTGTGCTCACCAAGATGTGCTGGGCCACCATGGGCTCCAAAACAACACAGTAAAGCATAAACTAAAAGCTGGGAAACTGAGCCAAATTAACCTTTACCCCTTGATGTTAATTTTCTCAAGTATTTTGTCATAGCAACAGAAACCTGACTGATACATTTGCAATGTCTTCTATTATTACAAGTTTCGACATGAGGGTTATTCTGGCCTCATAAAGTAAGTGGGAAAACATCCCCTCCCCCTCTATTTTCTCAAAGGGTTTCAATAAAATTCTTCCTTAAATACTTTGTAGAATTTACTTGTGAAACTATCTGAACCTGAAGTTTTCTTTGTGGAGATATTTTTGGTAATAGTTTTGGTATTTGGTAATTGCTGTATTAAGATTTTCTACTTGATCTTGTGTCAATTTTGGTAAATTGGTTTTTTGGGATTTTGTTTTGGGTTTTTTTGGTTACCAAGGATTGAACTCAGGAGCACTTGACCACTGAGCCACATCCCCAGCCCAGTTGCTTAGTGCTTCTCCATTGCTGAGACTGGCTTTGAAGTCGCGATCCTCCTGCCTCAGCCTTCCTAGCCACTGGCATTACAGGCATGCACCACTGTACCTGGTGGTGTAAATTGTAATTTGTGTGTGTGTGTGTGTGTGTAAATTGTATTTTTAACATTTTATCCAAATTGACATGTTTTTTTCATAATATCTCCATATCTTTTTTTAAAGAGTGAGAGAGAGAGAGAGAATTTTAATATTTCTTTTTTTTTAGTTTTTTTTTTTCCCCCAGTAGACACAACATCTTTGTATGTGGTGCTGAGGACCGAACCCGGGTCGCACGCATGCCAGGCGCACGCGCTGCCACTTGAGCCACATCCCCAGCCCCAATCTCCATATCTTTTTGATGCTGCCTGTAAGATTTGTTTGAGTCTCTTGTTCATTCTAATTCTGGTATTTTCTCTGTCTGTTCCCCTGCTCATCTTCACTGATTTTTCTGGGGGCTAATCTTTTCAAAGAATCAACTTTTCTCTTATCTATCTTATTCTCTATTTTATTTATTTTTACTATTAACCTTATTCCTATTTTCTCCTTACTTTGATTTGTTTTTTCTGCCTTCTTAAACTTAGTCCCCCTTTCCAATAAGATCATTTAAAGCTGCCCACTTCCCCATCTATGGGGTGGGAGGACACCTGTTTTTCCTCTTACTGCACTCTTAGGACACAGCACACATCATCACCACTGTGTGAGATTCTCACACATACAGTGATTCTCCAGTGGACACCAACTGAGTACTTCATAGCCCCATTCCATTCTGACACTGCCCTGGAAGTCAAAAAAAAAAAAATACTTATGAAAGCACCTTTGAAAGAGCTTTCAGAATGGGAAGAAGGTACTCGGGACTCAGCTGCTGTGTGCAGCAGGAGCCAGGTCACCTCTGCTTGGATCGCAGGCTTTAGAGCAACCAGGACAAGCAGACAGGTACAGCCCGAAAGGTCACGGGCTGTTGTTTCTGGTCATTTCCATCCTGTCTGTACTTTCTTTATTTTCGGTTGGTGGGCTGCACAGCCCTGTCCTTCTCAGCCTTCAGTAGCCCATGTAAGCTCCCACCCAGAAGGTTGCCCTCCTCAGAGTCTCCCAAGACCCCACATAAGGTCTGTTTTAATTCCACAGTACCTGAATTCAGAGCCGTATTGCCTCCCTGGGACAATGCAGTCCCACAGTGGAGGGCTCCCTCCCGTAGGACTGCACCCACTCAGATACTAGGCAGCCCCACTGTGACTGTGCTTCTCCCTGGCTCTGGATCCAGGCTCCCATGACCTCCCTCCTGGTGTGTGATAATTAGCTAGGGTGGCTCATAGTCCACCTACACTCTCTGGTTTGTTATAAAGGGCATTATTACGAATGTAAACGAACAGTCAGATGAAGAGAAGGCAAGGGGAAGAGGGCACAGAGCCCTATGCCTATTCTGGTGGTCAGGTACACAGACCTCATTCTTGTCTCTCCAGAGCTCTTGCAGAGCTGGACCTCGAGCCCCTCTTACCCGAGGCTAGTGGGTAAGGTTGAAAGTTCCAACCCTCTAAACTCTTGGTCTTCTGACCAGATCCATCCTGAAGCTATCTAGTGGCCCTACCCTAAGTTACCTTGTTAGTGAACAAAGAGCTTAGAACAAGGCAATCACATCATAAGGATGTCCCTTGGGTTTAGGATCACAAGGGCTTAGAACAAGACAATCATATCAATAAGGATATTTCTTGGTTTAGGATCAGAGGGGATTAGGACAAAGATAATCACATTGATAAGGACATCTCATGGATTTAGGATCAGAAAGGCTAAGAACAAGACAATCACATTAATAAGAACATTCCTAGAGTTTTAAGGAATAGGTAAAAGGAACTTAGACTAAATATATCTCATATTTCACATTTTTCATTATGCATTTAAAAATACTTCCTGATGTCCTTTATGACCTGGCACTTGATCTCTCTTAATGGACATTGTCTGTGCGGTCATTGTTTGCTGTAGTGTCATGTAATTCCCAATTAGGCAAAAGGTATCCATCCCATACTCATTCACCATCTCCACACAATACGTAATCACTATCTCCATCTCATACACACTGACAATCTCCATCCCCCCACACACACCTCCAACCATTCTTGCACTAAATCCATCCTATACACATTCATCATCTTCATCTCATACACACTGAACATCTCCATCCAGTGGGAGACCAACC